ACACAAAAAATTAGGGGGGGTTGGGCAGCTTCCAGGTGTAAATGTGATCATGGCATTCCTGCAAAAGAGGCTTTCTCTCAGTGAGCCTTCCCTGAATAAATAAAGGTTAAAAAGAAAGTTGATGCAGTTGTTTGTGAATGGCCACTTTTATGTTTTTTATGCTCATACTGGTGCCTGACTGAGCATGTATGATGAACATTTCAGTGTAGCAGTTCCTCCTGCAGACTCTCATACTAAACAAATACAATGAACACTTAAAGAAATGAGAAAAGATCAAGTGAACACTTCCTGTTTAACAAATAACCATGCTAAATATATCCATTGAATATACTGCTTCCTCTTTTTAAAAAAAATGCACATCATCTATCTCTTACTTTCTTAATGTATGTTCTTAAATTTATTATTCATTTTTCCAGGTTGACTGTCTTTAATAAGCACCTTGTTCTTTGTAGTACATCAAAAAAATCCAAAGTATATAATAAATGGCTATAGAGATTTCAGAGAGATTTTATAGATTCAGAAGAATTGGTTTTACAGAATGTGAGTTTGAAGCAACAAGTGGCCCTGTGGTTTTATAAGTGTGAGAGTGTTGCAAACATTGATGTCGGGGTGTTAAATGCTATAGACTACAATTTCCTTTTCAAGAGCTCACCTCGGCAGACGTTTTGTCTCCTCTGCCAGCTTCGTATATTTCTTGTGTGTACATATGTCCAAAATGTCTATAAACACTAGACCTATGTTATATATGTTGTTGAGTTGTGTACTTACATTATCCCACGTTTCCAACAATGTTCCAACCCAGAGAAATCTGTAATTTTCTTCAAGCAACCGGTTGCCTGTCAATGTTATCACATTCCCTTTGCACATGTGTCAGCGTTGTGGTTGTCTGGTTATCTCATAAATTGAGTTCTTTTTAATTACATGGACGAAAGATTTTAGTCCGGGATGCCCTTTGTCTGCCAAACAGCATCGGAGAAACAGTGATTTTTAAGGTGGAACTGCATTATTCAGTGTTTTTATTAGTTTCAATCACTGGGTCAGTTTGTTTTGAAGAGGAGGAGACCTCTGTGGATAACTGTCTTACGGTAGAAACCTCCTGAACCATGAACACTGTCGGGAGAAGCTGACTGCAATGACGGCAATGGTGGTGAAGACTCCCATGATCCCACGCTACTTCGCAACGTCGTCAAACTTCGTTTTTTGTTTTGTACTGACGTGAGAGACACTAGAGTGGAAGAAATTACTTATTGTATGTTTTATATGCCACAAATGTATACTGAAAAAAATAACTCATTGGATGAACACAAATAAATCCATTAAATTTATGTAGCCCCAACTCGAACTAAGTACCTCCTTGTAATATGATTTAATTGAGTTGGTCAAACTCATCTTTATCAAATACAGCCAAAATAAAATAAGTACATTAACTGGCCGAAACTGATTTACCTTTGTACAACTTAAACTAATATAGCTGGTCTAAAATAAAATTATTCAGAGACACATAACACAAAATCTGGTTAATATGTTTTTATTTAAAACGAATAAAACCTCATACAAATATCTATATCTATATATCTATATATCTATAGAGAGAGAGAGAGTGAGAGAGAGAGATATATATAGATATAAAACATCAACATGAAACTCATCAACATATTGATGACAGTCACTGACTTGTGTCAAAACACAGAGCCTCAGCTATATGTTTCAGGCAGAAAAGCTAAGGCATGTTTTGACCAGTTCAGACCGACCCTGAACATTTCTTTACCATTACCTGCACTATGTAGTGCCTAAATACTGGAATGAAATATACATATACCACATTTAACACACATCAACAGAACAAAACATGGAAATTCTTCCACCAATCTCAAACTAAACTGTTCAAAATGCACTTTGACCTTGACTGAGAGCTTAGCTTTATAAGCTTCTCTTAATTTTTTTATCTATGATGAACACAGTGTATGACCTATCATATTTAGAAAAGAAAAGAAATGAATCCGCTGACTTCAAAACTGCTTCAACCAAAGTAACTAGTATTAGTGCTAGTACAATAATAATACAAGTACAATATCTGCAAAGGCTAAGGCATGGTATAACCAGCTCACATTAAACATGAAAACTTTGGTTTTACTATACTATACACATGGAAGAAGTACAAAACAGAACCTGAAACGTGAAAGAAAAAATAAAGAAAAAGAAAAAGGAATTTCTTTGAGTCCAGTCACAGCCTATCCATAGGAACACACTTCAAGATGTGCTACACAAGTAGTTAACAAGAAAAACATCCATGCTGACTGTCACTGAATGTGTGGACACAGTGTTTGCGCCTTATGAAAACAGCTTGATTTTCAACTGCTGTATCTTTGCATTCAGCTTGTGTCCATCCAAGTTCATAATGATCTTCTGGAAAAACTCAAAGGTGTACTTGAGGTTTTCGGGAAAGGCTAGATCAAGGGCATAAATGAGCCCAAACAGCATGATGAACAGCATGATGAACCCCATGATGACGCTGCCAACATTGCTGAGGACTTTAATGCCCTCAATCACAACTCCCACGTCCTCTGGCTCTTCATGTCCATCTCTTCGGATTGTGTAAGTCCCCATGACTGTGGTGGCGATGTCCCTCTCTGCATCCTCAACAACACAGAAAACAAATATAAGTAAAACGCTAAACAACAAAGAGAAAATCATATACAACATATAAATGCACAGTTACTACATACAGCAGTTTAAAGCAACAGTTCATCAGTTGCCTCTGTCAAAAAACAGGTGCTAATTCGGGCTGTAGCCTTCAACGTTGGATAAGATATAGGCCAGGGTTAGGGATGGTGGTGTGTCAGGCTTTTACAGAATCTTCTGATGCACACATCAGTGTTGTTTCCTGAAGTCACTGGCTGTTTCATAGTATTTCTCATAAATGACGCATGGAATTAGATTGTCTCAGTATTATAGAGTAACTAACCCCGGTCAGAGCCTAACTTCACCTGCTGCATACATTTTGAAAAATGCTTAAAAAAGTGAGGGAGAGGAGTGAGGAGGTGAGACAGGGTGGAGCGTATTTCACAGACTGCTCCTCAGATTCTGGAGAACATGGATAACAGTGGACTGTGCCGATCAGCTTCAGCTCCATCACTGCCTGAAACTGGAGCTGTCAGAGCCAAGGCTACAGCAGTGCAAGAGAGCTGTAGCAACATAATGTCAGCAGCTTTATGGCCAACATTTTTCAGTTTTAAAACTATGCAATTTCAATGATCCTTTTAGAATCTACCACAGAAAATATTCAGCAAAACTCAGGAGTGAGAAACCAAATCCATCCCCACTTATAAAGGTATGTGTGTCTGCGTGTACTGTGTGTATCTTTGTATGATAATTTACAGTGTGTACAGTGACTACTACGTGTCACTAGGTTGCAGTAAAGTCCTGACGAGTAAAATAGAGGTGCCAGAAGACAGGAAATTCAGGAAAAATGGAAAAAAGATGAATTAGAGTATTTTTTATGTTGCAGGTTTACAATTATACTACATGAGAGAATTTTAATAAACTTACCAAATATTCCTTGAAAAACACATCTGGGTCTTCATTGACATAGACAACAAGGCTTCTCAGGATGCACTCCCTCCTTATGTTGATGTCATCGCACTAAAACATGGGTGACAAATAAAGACATCTGGTTATGCTGGTGGTGCAGGGATTAGAGCAGTCTGAAGATCAGTAGGTTTTTGGGCTGTCTGTTGTATATGTGAAAAAAATAATTATATAATCAAACTGTAAAAGAAAGCAGACTTTAAATTGTGAAAATTATAGCTGCACTAGGTAGGTTTGAGAAATTAGTAAGAACATGTAAGGTTTACAAACACTGACCTCCTTCCTTCAGGCCTCCCTCTTGCTGAGATTAAAAGAATACTTAAATTTAAACCAGATTGTTGTTATCATTACTAGGTGAGCAAAACGTGCACAAGGACAAAGTGCCCACCATTATGTTTTGGTTCTAGGACTGTTGCATTTCCGTTTTTGTGTAAACCAAACACCACTCAACTTGCAAGAGGTGTTTTTTGGTATGATGCACTGCAGTGCATTCTTGTATTTGGAGATTTTCTCCCCTCCCTTTTAGGCAAAAGCAAATGCCACAGCCCCTTTTCTCTGATCATGTAGCACCTATTTCCTATTGTTATGAAAACACCATATTTCCAGCTGTGAAATACTTCTTTAAATTAGCATCTACAAACAAGAAAAAAACTTAACCACTACAATACAGTGGAAGTTTGTTTGATGCATTTATACTAACCGAGTCTGTCATTGCCAGGATGCACTTGATCTTTTGCCCTTTAACTCCTCCTTTGCTCTGGAAGATCTGAGTCAGCTTGTCTGAGAAGTGGTCCATCTGTGACAGGAACTTAGATTGTAGTGGCTTCGTGGTGATCCGGAAGAACTCTGCATTCACCTGAAAAATGTTCAACAATGTACAGACATGTTACTTGTACTGCCATAAAGGGAAGCAGGGTTATTGCAAAATACAAATTGCAGACATTAATCACCATGGACAATAATAAAACTTGAGGACACACAAACATTTACTTACTTCACTCTGCTCAAACAGGGCAGGCCATCTGTTTTTGAAATCTCCTATCATTCTATCCTATCCCTAACATTTGGATATTTAATCCAGCATCCCATGCAGCTCTAACTGTTTATTAAACTTGCCACTGGTGTTATTACTGCTGGTAGGTTTACCCGATTGGTAAAGTATAAAACTTCTTTGGCTAACTGAAGACAAGACTAGTTTGGTGTTGACACAAGATAAGTTTACAGTGCAATGCTAACGTTAGCTGTAATGCTTAATTATAACCTATGCTCTGCTTCTCATATAACCTAATGTTCACATAACAGACATTTACAGACCTCGTCTTCCTGACAGCATTAGATGATGTTTGTGCCACAGCTTCTCTTTTTGTACTGGTAAAAAAAAAAAAAAACTAGCTTGTATATTAATGACTGACTGACTGTTAGCTAGCCTTTGGTGTTGTAACCATAGACTGTATATATCGCATAAATGACCCACACTGCATTCAAAATGGCAATTTGCGACAAGTTTGCACCGAGTAATTGGTCTTTTACAAGCCACAAACAGCCTCAAACATCTAAGTAGACAGGTTTAACGTGTGTGAGAGAGAGACACTGACTGAGGAGGGGAAGGGAGGGGAGAGGTGAGGGGGGGTCTGCTTAAACAGACTCATTAGTTGTTAGAGCTCATAATTCATGTTCATGTACACTTTTTAAGTAAAAGTTGTGTGGTTATAACACTAGTCAGAGTAACCACAGACACTTAGTCAAACTTAATTCTCCCTCGTGTATCTTAGCTAGCTAGCCCGCTAGCCCATGTCCGACTTCACTGACGGTAAAATTCGTCGGTCTTTTCACAGCATGCTTTTTAAAATATAACAAAATCGAGTACTGACCAAGGAGAGGAATTACAGCAGCTTTCCGTGGCTCTGTAAAGTAAAATCCCGCAGCAGCGTTGTCAGAAGTTGTCAGTGAAAAAGGACCGGGAGGAACGGAGGCTGAGAGCGCGCTGCTTCGCACATGCGCAATGGGCGGTCCCAATTCAAATGAAACTCATTTGTTTTGAGTTCATGAATGTCAAGGTGAAACTATTACGTTACCACAATTAAATTTACATCTGTTTAGTGTTTAATAGATTTGTTTCAGCAAATCAAACAACAATTTAATGTGTCACATCAAAGAAGGGCTTGGATCAGTTTTTTGAGTGCAGAACGACTTATCCATCAGTTTCCACCTCAGAAAGATGCACAGCGACCCTCGGTTGATGATAGAGGGATTTGATGTGGCTCTCTCACTTAGTTTGGCTGTAATAGACAAAAGTATGAACGGTGACTTTTTTGCGTTTCGCATGTAATTCTGGCCTTATTGTGTTTCCCATTTGTTTTTCGCATGTAATTCTGGCTTATTTTGTGTTTCAGGTGCAATTCTGGCAACAAAGCAGGAATGTGGTGTTTTTCCACCTAAATGTCAAAAATGAGCTCCTCTGGCTCTGAAAACAAGCTTTTTCATTTAAGCTGCCATTCTCTTCCAGAACGACTTATCCATCAGTTTCCACCTCAGAAAGATGCACAGCGGCCCTCGGTTGATGATAGAGGGATTTGATGTGGCTCTCTCACTTAGTTTGGCTGTAATAGACAAAAGTATGAACAGTGACTTTTTTGCGTTTCCCATGTAATTCTGGCCGGACAAAACTATTGAAAGTGACTATTTACTGATTAGTTTCTTATAACTACTACTCGACACAAGATGGTGATAGTGACCATAGAACAGTTACCTGTTCTATGGTAGCAAGAGTTTCAGTATATTTCCAGTGACTAACATGAACTTTTTAAACAGCTTATTTATTCAAAAACCCCAGTTTTAGTTGTTTTACCTCCAGTTTTTAACACAGTGACACTGTAATGTCACAAAATAACTTATTTTGATCAACAAACAGTTTTGGTAATTTTGGCTCTGCATTTTTGAAATTGGACTGAGTTTTCAGTTCCATCAGACTGTAGGGTTACAAAACCTTCTTTTGGTCAAAAAACACAGTTTTTAGTCGTTTTAACTCTAGTTTGTTCACAGAACTGAGTTTTTTAGAATATTCAGAATGAAGTTTCTTTTGGTCAAAAAACACAGTTTCAGTGGTTTTCTATAGTTTTTTAGCTGGACAATTTTCAGTTCAGTTAGACTGTAGTATCATAAAAGGGCCTTCTTTACCTAAAAAACACAGTTTTAATGGTTTTAGACCTTTAGATCTTCCTGTTTCCACCTCAGGAAGCTTCACAGTGACATAAACTTGGTGGCTAAGGTGGTTTGTTGTGAGTTTCTTGCTTAGTTTAGCAACAGACAAAAAAATATAAAGTGACTTTTCTCTGGTTCACATGCAGTTCTGGCACTAATGTGGGACTTAGGTGCTCATAACCACTCAGAAATGTCCTTTAATACATTTTTCATTGTTTGGATGTGTGTGGGCATTATCTTTGTGGTTGTAAACTAAAAAGAAAAAAAAAAGTACTATACTTCAATAAAAATTTTGTTTTGTATATATTTAATAATATATTAAGATTAATCTTCAATAACAATTAAACAGACCAATTAAACCTAAAAAATCTGGTTTATATACTGTATGGAAGAAATCACTGGTATATGTTACAGTCACTGGCAATAGACTGTGACTCAGTTGCTGGCCAGAATGAACTGTTTTGTGGTCAAAGTGTGCCCTCTTTTGTCGAAAAAGCGTAACTGCAGTTGGAACACAAAAAATATAGACATCCCTGCTATAGAACTGAATCTAATCCATCCAAGTTTCACATACTTTAGATTTGTTGGTATGTATGTGTGTGGTTGTAAAGTAAAAAGAAGACATTAACGTAACAAGATATAATTTCATATATAGGTCATAATAAAATGAATTTCACTGGTTAAACCTGTCTTCAAACTGGACTGAGTTTCACCAGAGTGAGATTGTATTGTCACAAAACATTCTGTTTTGCCTATAAAATACAGTTTTAGTGAATTTAGCTCTGCTTTTGTAACTGGACTGAACTTTCAACAGAGTGAAACAGTATTGTCACAAGACAGCTTCTTTTGCCTATAAAAACACTGTTTTCGTAGTGTTAGCTGGGCCTTTGTTACTTGACTGAGTCTTCAGTTCAGTCAGGCTGTATTGTCACAAAACAGCTTCTTTTGATGAAAAAACTTTTTTAGTTGTCTTAGCTCTGCTTTTGTAACAAAACAGGATTTTAAGCAGATTGAGATGTATTGTCAGCAGCATCTTTGGGTAATGAAAAAAAATTTAGTGATTTTAGCTCTGATTTGTAACTGGTCTGACTTTTTTAGCTCAGTCAGACTGTAATCGAATGAAACAACTTCTTTTGGTCAAAATGCAGTTTTAGTTAGATGTTTTAGCTCTGCTTTTCTACATAGACTGAGTTTTAAGCTTAAACAGACTTTACAGTGCGAAGTAGGTGTGTTAACCGTGACAAATGAATGTAAGTTTCTCACTTAGTTTAGCTGTAAT